TTATAACTCTTGAACGGTTGCATATTTTTACATGACATTTGAAATCTATCGATGAATTTTGATGTAGCTTACTACTAAATTCTAAAAAATAGAGTACTACGAATAGTAAAAGAAAAATCTTGGGGAGCTCAGGAAAATGTTAATTTTTTTCGCAAACTCCTATTGCAAAAATCTTTCAATAAAAACTCATCATTTGAGTCCAATATGATACCTCTACAAGTTTCACCTGGGTCCCATGCTCTAAACATGAAATCCATCATACGAAAAAATCCTGGATACGCCACTATAGACTGCACCAATGTTATTGTACGTGGAACCAATTCGCCAATCTTGTTCTGTACCAAATAATGTTTTCTTCAAATCCAAACATTTAAAATAATATTCGAGTGATTTATCATAATCTTCCAGAGCACGATGAAGTGTAGCCAAGTTATTATGCACATAAGTTGTACCTACAAATTCAGGACCTTTCACTTCCAAATGAATGTCAAGTGCTTTTTGATAATGATATAAAGTTCTTGTATAATCGTGAGTTTTTCCATAGTGATAGGCAATACCAATATAATTATGTGTTAAACCAGGTATCATTTTATCTTTAGATGGAAATTTAGATTTCATATCTAATATCTTCTCGAAATACCACAATGATCCGCCATAGTCACCTTTGAGTTGCATAACTTGACCAATACCATAATAACAACTTAGAATAGCTAGATCATTTGGTTTTGATTGTTTTAAAAGTTTTTCATAACATTGTAATGCTTTATCATATAGACCCATATCTTTGAGAACGTTGCCGAGAACTTTAATATTGGTTTCATCACCTATTTCTTTTTTCATTCGGTCATAAAGATCTTTTAATTCAATTTCTTGTTGACCGCATAATTCAAGGTCAACGATATGTCAATTTGGTTACCATATTGTAACAAATGACTTATTAGTTGAATTGTCTTGGCATAGAAATGAAAAAGTAATGCGTCGGTCATTGGGCCTCGCTTGACTCAATCCTGAAAGCAGAGAATAGGGACAATAGCATTGTACTCTCAAAAACCAACTATTGCCCCAAATCGGGTGATATCTTTAGGATTCTTTTTATTCTAGTCGGCCACTCGAACAAAACATCAAACATTTCGTCGGAAACTTTCTTTGAAAACGTTTTTCATTTGAAGGCACCAAAGTAGCTTCTTGTGGCATTCTTTTGTTCACCACTCATTTAAGCACTGTATGAAGGTCCTCGAGTTGGATTCTGCCCAAAAAATAGTATTTGATCTTTAAACAGCATATGTCTGCTTTCTTTTTAAAACCGCTCTGCAGACATGGTAAACCAAGATACAAAAAAGCTTTTTGTGTTGTTTTTTCATCTTCGACCAACTGTAATTAAGTCTCATTCTAAAAAACATAGATTTTCATTACTTTATAGTTGTTGCGATGTCCTATATCTCGAAACGATCAGTTTTAATTTCTTGAGAGTATATTGCTTTCTAAATCGTTGGATAAAAACAAACATACGATCAATTTAATGCGAATGGAACCATCTTTCACAAAAAGAACAACGAAAATAAAGAATCTCATTGACTGTAGAAAAGTCAGAAACATATTATTGTCCACAAAAATTTGAGAAATAATCTTCTTGGTCGAAAAGTATTTCAAAAAAATTCTACAAGGTTGTAGCTGTCCCATTGCGTCTAAAGAGTCAAACTCTGAAAATAATGTTTCCAGCGAGATAGACAGCGAATTAAATTCAAACTTTCCTTTTCTGAACATCTTTCGTGAATCTTTCTCTCTAAAACATGGTTTCTATTAGCCTCTAACCTACTAAATGGAGTTTTGAGGCCAACAGAGTTCAGATTCGAATTCCCATTCTAGAATAACACGCAGGGAACAATTTTTCGAAAAACTTCATTTCTATTTGGTTCTGACCGACCATTCGAATGTCGGACAAGTGTACGAAATTCCACTGTGAAGATTCAATCTTTGCAGAATTGAGAATATACGTGTCAGGCAAAATTCAACATAGTAATATAAATTTTTCAATAAATGGTGTGTTAGTAACAAGTTAAGTATTTTCCCAAGTAGCCAATTGTTAGATGACATTATTCGGCACTAGGACAATTCGTCGCACATGTATTGTACAGAATACATTGATTGAATTAAGTGATTTAGTTTAGAATGTTATCTGATTAATCGCTTTAACAAAAATTTTTCTTTAGACTCTTACGAACCTTTATTCGGAATACAATGGGTTTTTTCAAAAATAAAATAGCGATATACATTTAAAGCCTATTTTAAAATTTAATTAAAAGCATTGAAGTTTGATTTTAAATGGAACTCTATGTAGACAAATTAAAAATAAAGTTCATTGTTTTCAATTGAAATTTAAGTTTTTATTTAAAAACAAGCTGAAAATTAAAACAAAATATAAAATCGAAAAAAACATTTACAAATCTAAATTAAAAAAACTTGAAGTTTTTTATTTACTAAAAACATAAATTTTAATGAACGAAAATGAACTTTATTTTCAATTTGGCTACATAGAATTTTATTTAAAATCAAACCTTAGTATTTTTAAATTTAGATTTGTAGAATTCTTTTCGATTTT